ATACGACTAGATAAACACATGGATGAGTTTCTCTAGATCGTGCTGAGACATAAGTCCTCTAATCCTGGATATGTTCTCCAGGTGATAGAAGGCCGACTTTGTGACTGTCTTAATGTGGCTCTGAAGGGTCAGGTCAGAGTCCATCACTACTCCCAGGATTCAGGCCTGATCGCTGGTTTTAGTTGTAATAACTGAAGCTGTGCATTGATTCTAGTTCGCTCCTCTTTAGGTCCAAAGATAATAACTTCAGTTTTGTTTCTGTTCAGCTGGAGAAAGTTTTGGCACATCCACACATTTATCTGTTCTAAGCATCTGTTCAGTGATTGGATGGGTTCAGAGTCACCTGGTGACATCGTAATGTAGAGCTGTGTATCATCTGCATAGTTATGGTAGCTGGATCTTATAACCTGAGCTAGTGGGAGTATATAAATATTGAATAAGAGGGGTCCTAGGATTGAACCTTAGGGTACCCCACATATGACCTCTGACCTCTTTGATGAGAAGTTTCCAATTGAAACAAAGAAATCCCTGTTCTTTATGTAAGATTCAAACCAGTTGAGCACTGGACCGGAGAGTCCGACCCAACTCTCCAGTCGATTCAGTAAAATGTCCTGTCAACACTGAGGTCCAACAGAACCAGCACTGTGGTTCTCCCACAGTCTGTATTTATATGGATATCATTGAACACTTTTACAAGGGCCGTCTCCGTGCTGTGGTGAGCACGAAAACCAGACTGGAAGGAGTCAAAGCGATTCATTATTGTTAGGAAGTTATTTAATTGTTTAAACTGCTTTTTCAATAACTTTACTGATGAATGGGAGGTCAGAGGTCGGCCTGTAATTCTGCAGTTGTGATTTGTCCAGATTGTTCTTTTTTATCAGTGATTTGATAATTGCTGTTTTCAAAGCCTGGGGGAGAACACCTGATGAGAACGATGAGTTACTATTTGGATCAGATCATTAGCAACGACAGGCAAAACTTTCTTAAAGGAATGTGTGGGTAGGACATCCAGACAGCAAGAACTGGAGCTTAATTGACTTATAATTTCTTCTAGAGTTTTATAATGAAGTAGTTGAAATCAGGTCATTTTTCCTGTATTTGTTTTGTTTGGGTACAGCACTGGTACTGGTTTTGGAGTGGATGTGCAGATTAATCTGCTGATCTTATGAATTTTCTCTGAAAAGAAGCTGGAAAACTTGTTGCAGGCGGCATTAGATTGAAGTTCAGGTGGTAACGTCATAGGAAGGTTTGTGAGCCTGTCAACAGTAGCAAATAAAGCTCGAGCATTGTTAATGGTTTTGTTTATGACATCTGCAAAGAAAGCCTCTCTTGCATGTTTTAGTGCTGAGTGATAGTTACGTAGTCTTTCTTGATAGATTTAATAATAAACGTAAAGTTGAGTTTTACGCCATTTTTGTTTGGCCCTACGGCAGAGTTGTCTTGCAGATTGAACTGTTTGTGCATTTCTCCATGGAGATTTCTTCCTACCAGACACAACCTTCACTTTAATGGGGGCAATGTAATCAATATCTGAAAGTTTAGACTGAAAATCATTTACCAATTTATCTACATCATTACAGCTTAAGGGCGAGGAAGAAGAGTAGATTTGATGAAATGTTCCTGCTGTGTTTTCTGTGAAAAAACGTTTTGTGACAGTAGCTGTTTGTCCACTTGGGTTAACGGATAAAGAACTTCCATCCTAGTCAGACATCCTTGAGCCTTTCTTCTGAAGCGATGATCACATTGTTGTCCTTGTTGATGAAATAAAAAATGTTTGCAGTGAGCAGCTTTATCCCATGTTTGTTAAGATTGCGTCCTCCTCTTCCAAAGAGGTGAAAGCGCTGCCAATAGACCCAGAGGTTATCGATGAAGGTCACTGAGCTGGTAGAGCAGGTTTTAATCAGCCATTTGTTTATCATGAACAGCCTGGAAAGTTTTTCATCTCCCCATTGAGGTGATGGAATTGGACCACTGAGAAATAACTTCATTTTTAATTTTCCCATAGTGTTCAGAAGAATATTAAAGTCCTTTTTCAGAATCTCAGATTTTTACTTTGCCAGATCATTGGCTCCAACATGCACAACTAAAGTCTCCATGTTTGGCTGATCAGCGGTTAGTGAGAGCACTTTGCGAGTCAAATCAGATACAGTGTCACCAAGAAAAGAAATCACTCTCGTTTTCTTGGCATTGTAAACATGGCTGATCCCATTTACTGCTTCATCTCCAACAATAAGCACTCTTGGCATATCTTTCGTTTTCCTGGTGGTCACTTTGTCCTTCGGAGACAAAGTGTGGGGTGGATGTGATGGTTTTGCCTCATTGTTGATGTTTGAAGGTGGGTTTTCACTCAGAGGCTCAGACTGGAGTGCAGAAAATCTGTTTTTCAGTGGGATTCCCACGGAGTCAGAATGTTTTGAGGCTTGGGCTGGTTGCTTTGTCCATGGGAGCGGGGTCGGTGGAGCCGTTTTGGTTGCAGCTACTTGTTTTGGCGGAGCAGGTGTTGAAGTTGCCAGGTGCAGGGTTCTCCCTGTTCTTATTGGATCCGCAGTGCGAGACTCCCGTTTCAACTTGGCACCCTGAGCGTTCCAGGGTGAGCTGCTCGGTACAGGCGCACAACCTCTCCGTTGATTTGAGGAAGAGTTGTCTCACTTCCACAGGCAGCATTGATCTCGAAGTTCACCTCCAGCAGTGCAATCTTCCTTTCAATAGACAGAAGTTGTTGGAAAATAATGCTCATGTTCGACGTTTCACATTTTCTACAGAACCACAGATCCATCGACTCCGGCATCTGAGTCATTCTGGAGCAGGCCAGGTGCACGATGTTGCACTCAGACTCTTTTTCGGGAGGGATCATCTCAAGAAATCAGAAAGCAGAGTTAAAATCAACCATCCAATTTATTAAAGCAAAAATATGTAATAAAAATATATAGAGACAACAGAGAAATAGTCTGCCGTTACAGCATTGGACCACAGCTATGCATGAGTCCTTAAGGGTCAACACAGAAATGACCTCAAACAACCATGTCCAGTTCCTTTTTACGCCTACATTAGATACGCCCTAAAGAGGTCATTCCCTTAACCTTATGTGTATGAGTGTGTGTGCATAGATAAAACCAAGAACTTTCAAAATAAAAACATTCTAACGCATTATATGAATAAAAAAGCAGTCTCATTAAAATATCAAAAACTTAAGAAAGTAAACATGCAAACAGAATCCTATAAAATCTCTCTCTTTCTTACCATCCTCCTTAATCTTTTACCTTTTTCTTTTACTATCTTTTAAGAAGATTTAGTAAAATAACTTCAAAAGCTTCTGACTGAATTAAGACACTCAGCCAGAATGGTCTAAAATATCACACATATGATGTCACATGGTTGATAAGAGACTGTTGTGTCACTGCAGGATTATTTCCTAACCATGAGTCCAGCATGGTACCAAAGTCTGATTAAGGTTCTACTCAGTCGATTCCCTCAGAGCTGCAGACACTTTGATGATAATGGCGTCCAGTATCTGGTGAGTAAAATAACCCAGCATTAACACAATGTTGAGAGATGTTTTTTAAACTGTACTTTTTACTTGTCAGCTGAAATGTAATTATTCCTCATTTTACAAACTATGACTTTCTTTAAAATTGACCCAACATTAAGCATGAACTTAGTTCAGTTCAGTTTTATTTGTATAGTGCCAATTCACAACAAATGTCATTTCAAAGCACTGTGCAAAAATCATATCAGTTCAGTCATACATACATTCCCGTTGATCCTAGTTATGATCCCAGTAGAGTATGCTCAATTTATTTTCAAAGTAGTTTAAAAAGTTTCTCTCTAAAGAAACCCAGCATATTGCATTGAGTCATTGATCTGCAGTATTCACTCCTCCTGGATGAGCACATAGTGACAGTCACGTGTGACATTGACTTTACAAAAATGCCTCATACCAAGAATGCATGTAGTGACAGTAGAGAGGAAAAAATCCTTTTTAACAGGAAGAAACCTCCAGCAGAACCAGAACCTGGCTCAGTTCAAGTGGCCATCTGACACAACTGACTGGGGGTTTGAGAACAGAGAGCAGAATGCATAAGAAGAAACAAATAACTTGATGGCAGCATTATCTCAGCTGATGCCCTCCTCCAGGAAAGAATCCCAGACAAACAGAACACCAGACCAGCTTCTATGAGGAGAAAAACAATGGAGAGAAAACAAAAAGAAAATACAGTTCAAATAATGCAAATTGGTGAGTACTAGAAGAGGAAAGTGAGGAAAATTGGTCCATTTATACTCCAGTAGCCTGTGGCAGCAGTGAGTTAAAGTACCACCCTTGTTAAATTTGTGGACAATAAAACTGTAGTGGGTCTCACCTCATGATTGGATGAGTCTGCCTACAGGAGCAGGGTGGAGCGACTGACGGTGTGCACAGGGCACCACACTGGTCCTGGTACAGCCAAGACCAAGGAGCTTAAAGTGGATTTTAGAAGTAAAAAAGGTGAAGGTGTCAGCCTTCCATTTCTTGGAGGCCACATTAACATGAATAACCTGGCCTGGGGTAAACACAGCTAATGTGACAAAGAAGGCCCAGCAGAGATTCTTTTTTCCTGAGAGACCTCAGGAGAAATAACATTTGTCAAAAACTATTGGTGTCCTTCTATCGATGATCTATTGAAAGTAGAGGAAGATTCTCTGGAGAGTCATCCTCTGTTCATTAGCACAGAGGGTGACTCTGTGCTATCATAAGAGAATCATAAAATCTTTTCAGAAGACCATCGGCTGCTCTCTGCCATTTCTTGAAGAACTCCACAGGTTACGCTGCCTTAGAAAAAGCAGGAATCATTTAAAAGACTCTTAGCACCATGGCTACATACAACTGCTGAACATACAAAAGCAAGAAGAAACAGACTGAAAAACAGTTTATACCTAGCTGCCATCAGGGCATTAAATGCCAGCTAGTGTTACGTCCAATGTCATGGTTATGTGCAATGGTTTTCTGTGAATGAATGTTTGTAAGGAAAGGCACTCAATTTTGTTACAGTTCATGTATTTTTATTACATGTTTTATAATGACAATTATTTTTTAAAGATATATATTATTAAGGATTTTAGGCATTGTACCCAAACCAGTGCCACCACAATCATGTTAACATAGTCATTCATGTAAATGGTGTAAAAGGGTGAGGTTGAAGTGTTTGAGTGTAGATTGTCTAGCTAATTTAGATCCATGTCTGTTATCTTTTTAAAGGCCGTCCTTAACCAGAAGTTCACAGATTGTTTTGTTTTGGTTTTTCTGGACACCCAAGCAGGAAAAACTGTAAGTTATTAAACAAATTAGACTGTTTTGCTGATCATTTTTATGCTCAAAATTGATTCATGTGGAGTGTTTTCTTTGCAATTGCCTTGATCCCACAGAGCTTAAAGGTTGTATTTCGGGAACCACTGCCGTCCCAGCCTCAGGCCAGCAGCAGTCCACCTCCTCAGCTGGTGTCTATGTACCACCATCTGGAATCTGTCATCAACACTGCCTGCTATAACCTCTGGACAGGACTATTATAAAACTGACAGCAAAATTCATGCGCATAAGTACTTTATGACATCATTCATATATTCTATTATGCCAAGAAATGTTAGGAAATATCAGAAAAATGTGTGTACCTAAAGCCCTACTGCCATATTGGTGCCGTGAAGTGCCTTTATCTGTTTTTCTTCTTCTGTTCTTCTAAATGTGTAGAGGGCATAATCAATTGGTTTTGCGTAATTAAACCTAATGTAATGAGTAGGTTTACAAAGCTCTAATCAGTGAGGTAAGAAAATATCAGCATTAGCTTCAGTGACAAGTCGAGTTATCAGTGATTTTTCTGTAGTCTGTGAGAAGGAATGAGTGTGACCTGGTACTCATCTTACAGTTTCAAGGCTAAGATGAAGCTAACCATAAGTAAGAAGGTTACCTGACACACTGACCAGTGGGGAAGCAAACAGACCCCAGGATGACATTCTCTGCTCTGCCTGAGTCTGTAAAAATGTACTGCTGTCACATTTGTCATGAGAACCTCACTGTAATCTAAGCACTGCACTAACTCATTCATGTATATTGTGTTTAGGTTCAACACATTATAAAGAATTGTAAAAAGGTGAATTTAGCAAGACAGTGAAGTAAGTGGTATCTGAACTGGAGAACATTCTGTAGTTGGTTATTGTTAATAAAATAAAAGATTTAGCTTCTAAAAAGGCTTTCTATTTTTTTATGCACAAGATGAGATTAACAAACATTCTTCGTGTGCAGGCACCTACCAATGGATACTTGGGTTGATGAAGGATGACATCTTCACAAAAGTTCATTTATAGGAACATCTTCAGTATACGTCAGGGTCACAGTGTTTTGGCCGTTTCACTGGCCAGTGAAGGGTGATCAATTCTTGCAGTGCTGTTCTCTTTATCCACAGCCACTGACTCCTTTTCTCATGAGACGCCAACATAGCTCTGGTAGCTCCCAGCCTCCAGCTGCCAAGTCTTTTTGAGGTAGGCATTGCTACAAATCCTCAGCACCAAACCTCCACATGGTGGACTTCAGGCTGCTGAACCTCTGCTGCAAACTCAGTATAACGCAGGTATTTCGTCCACAGGCTTTATCCACTGACTCCTCCCAGGTGACAGAGTTCAATAAGAAAATGTTGAGTTAGAATTCTAGAAACCTACATTTTTGTAGACCTCATAAAGTGGCATCAAAGTTGTGGGGAATCAGAACTCACATCAATATTTGGCTTATGTAATGATTAATAATTATTAATAATTTATTGTTGATGAAATTAACATTACAATTTATTACTTTAATGGGGACACCAACTCTGTCAGAAGAAACTCTTTACACAAAAAATGACCACTGGAACGCTTATTTCTAATCAAGTCTGAGAATTTATTAACAAAATAGCCCAACTTTACGAAATATTCTGTGCAGCACTTTGGCATGTAATCTAGCTACTAGTGAAAAAACAAGGATGTGTGTGTGTGTGTGTGTATATATATATATATATATATATATACATATATTCTGAATGGAATACAATTCCATTCAGATCTTATGAATGAATGACCTATGACAAAATGAAACTGAAATACTGAAAAATTAACTTCAAAACTACTTAACTAATTAAACAAGAAAACTAAGGAGAGTCAGACTTGCAGAACCAAATGCAGCATACAGTGTTGTAAAACAAGAGTTCTCTCCTCCCTCTGGTGAAGGAGGAGGAAGATCATAGAAACAGGGCAATGGAACCTGGTTTCTCACCATCCAAGTTCTTCTTCTTTGTTCTCGGGGTTTAAGTCACACCTAATGAGGGAGGCCAAATCTGTGTGCACAGAGTTGGGAGATCTGGCAGCAAATCCAGATCTCCCTCTGGATTTGCTGAATCAAAATCTGGCCTGCCGTAACTTTTTATGTGGCCCTCTAGACTCTAAATTACAATGAGACTTCAGGTTTTCACACAAAATCAACAGATCCCCAAATTATATTTTTGATTTTGCTGCACTTTTTTTTCTCAAAATTGGTCAAAAACATTGAGTTTAAGTGACTGCTGCCTCAGGATTACGTGATGTCAAGTTATAGTCTGTGATTGAAATACTTCTAAATTAGTACCACAAAATCTGCGATTTTGATTGCAAAAAATACAAAAACAATCACAAAACTCTGGAGGGACTGATCAGCAATTATTTAATTTTAAGATACACTTATTGAATGCTGAAACAAACAGCTATTTATTGATTTTTTAACAGTTTAATTGGTTTTATCAATACATTCTGACACAACTGGCCCTTTAAGAACATTCAGATTTTTGATTTGGCCCAAAATGAAAATTAGTTTGACCCTCCTGCCTTACACAAAGCAAAGTCTTTTCAGCCGTGGCTGAGGTTCTCTTCTTCTGCTGCATGGTTCTTGTAAATGTCTTGAGCTTCCCTTTATCTGCCAGAATAATTCAGCAGTCTACCCTTATTCTGCCTCTTTGCAGCAGCTGAGATTTTCCTTCTGCCACATCCCTTCATTCACTGCTTATTGGTCAGTTTTTAATGCATTATCCGTCTCAGCTTTCCAGCCCTCAGAAGTAATACCGTCTTGGGTTTGAAGACTAATTGACTACTTCTGTAAAAGAACAATTAGTTCATCAGAGTCTAACACAGGCTTCAGTTACAGGCTTTCAGATGAGTTTGAATTATAACAATGTAGCCATCATTAGCCAATAATCTGCATTAAAATATGGAACAATCTCGCGTGTTCTCAGGTTACTCAACACCCCATCATACTTCACTTCACAGTTTATGTAGTTTATATTCTCTTCAGAATCATTGTCAAAAATCACAACTCTTTTAACTAAAACTTATTTAATCATTAGCATATCTGATCCAACATATAAGGAATCGGATAACTTTAACCACAATTTGATTACATACAGGTATGTTTCTATAAAATAAAAACAAGATTCATTCAGTGATTCTTGAGTAAAGGGACAAAACAGCTCCTATGGATAAAGCACAACATTTGAATAAAATATACACAACATATTTTTTTCAAATATCTGACTAAACTAACCTGGGTCATGTGAGCACAACAATGTATGTTTTCCTGGTGTTTGCTGAATATTTTTTTTATTTTATACATAGTAGTAGGTGGATGGTGTCTTTAAAATAGTTTGTCCTGGAGCAGAACTCAATACATTATAATAGTTTAAAACAATTAAAGGAATACCAAGATAATATGACAATTAAGTATAATTAATTATTAATTCATTTTAATGTATTTTACATAAAGGCATTACTTCATATGTATCAAGTTTTTCATTTTATTCACTAGTTTGTCACCCACCTTCAGCTCTGTGTCAACTGTCAGATGGACTTTGTTTTTTTGTTTTAAACATTTCTTTTCTTTAGAAGCATTTGTCTTTAAAACTGAGTAAAAATATCACTAACAGGGTAATTAAAAAATCATTTTATATTTATTTTTGTCAGATGGTGATGACAAAGTTCTGGGTCAGGTCCATTAAAAACGTAATTTTCAAAAAAATGTTGCAACTGGGAGCCTGTACCTTAGCATCTTTACATTTCCAAAACATTTTTTGTCATATTTGAATACTTAAGCTTGAGGAATAATTTTTAAAAAATTGGGGGAAAATGTAAACCCATTTTGCCCTCTTCTCAAGAATCACAGCATTAATTTAACTATGTGTAATCCTAGTTGCTCCCTTCTGTAAGAGAAAATGTTAAAACATGCCTTTTGGCCTCCACTATTCAATTATTCAGTTACAATACTTTTATGCTTTAATTTTGTGCTTTTCACTTATTTTACACATGGAATTGTCTTACCGTTTATGATCACTAGAAAAACAGACATAAAATGGGAAAAAAAACACCATAAATGACAGAATCATTATTTCCTTCAGGTCCCTCAGGGTTCATGGACCTGAAGGATGATGGTTTCTTCACCATCATTATTACATCAGTAACGTCAACACTAGCATCAACGTTTGGTTGACCAATTGAGTTGCTGACGTTTCTGTGCTCCATCACAGAAACATCATTTCTTTCACTTATCTTTTTTAAAACCTGCTTGTCAGAGTCTCCATCAAGCAGATCAGGATTTTAGGCAGAATAATTACCAAGATACAAAATAAACATTCCAAGGTTGATTATATCCCCAAATTTGTCCAAATTGATTTACACATAAGTGTAAATCTTTTATTTAAAAAAAAATCTTTTTTACATGTAAGCAAAATAAGGAGGGAAGATCAAATACATTTTTACAAGGTGCTAAATGTGTCAAAATAACACCCGAGTATCTTGATATGTAGTAAAAATATAAATGATCATATATTCACTAGATCTGTAGCAAAATGTAGAATGTGATACAAAAGTCATCTTCATGTTGCAGGAGTTTGGACCTCCACTGCACTGGAAGGCTCTCCTTCAGTGGTTTTCATAAAGGACACTTCAAAGCTGTGGTATGCAATTTAGAAAAAATGTTTTTTGTTGCTCATGACAGTTTGAGACGGGTAATCTGATGATCATAGTCTGTGAAAAGATTGAGCATCTCCACCATTTCCTAGGGCTACTATTCTCATTTGCAGAAAAGCACAGCTCTTGGTCAAAAACAACCAATCAGAGCCACTAGTAGTCTTATCGTTGTCAATCGAGCTCATTTATAACAAATGAGTAATAACAAATACCCATCCATTATTATACACACCTGTCCCTAATGGGGTCATGAGGTCCGCTGGTGCCCATCTCCAGCAGTCAACGGGTGAGAGGCGGGTTCAGCCCGCAAATCCATTGCAAGCTTATATATTCTGAAGTTACATACTACAGCTTTAAGGAAAATTATAAGGCCACTGGACTTTCAGAAAAGTTCAAGAATATTGGGCCCAGTATTGTTGGATCCACCCCAGACTCTTTTCTGTGGAGTCTGCAGGTAACAGAAACGATTATCAGTCGACATCCTTGAATTACATCAACAATAATTAAAGACTTACCAAGTGGCTTGTATTCACAGCCAATGTATCCTTGATAGCCAAGCTTTTCCAGTGTGTTCAACAGGTATCTGTAGCACAGCTCTCCATCACTGTCGGGTTCATTCCTGCCTGGAACCTGTGCAATCTGAACATGGCCTGAGTAACAAGACATTTATTTTTAGATCACTGCCTACTATGCATCTCATGCATAGTACACAATGTGAAATCACAATGTGATACAATTTTTTTTTGACCTGGTTCCACATCATGTTTAAATCAAATTTTAAAGAACATGCAAGCAAATGAATAAACTGCTCCTTGAACTCAGCATATTTTTTTTTCCACTTCCTCCGTTATCTTCCTCTCTTCTTCCTCCCTGGACTTTATAATTCGACATTCCTTATTCAAAATCACCATAATTCTTTCTGTCCACTACTACTACTTAACTACTTAACCTGGCCCATCCTTGTCATACACTCAGGAAAANCCAAGCNGGTGATNTGAGTGTTTTAAAAATAAAGCACTCAGATCTATAGAGCATAGAGACAGTCTAGTCTATTTAATTTTCTCAGTCATTAGTACAAATTGAGATATTTACTGTTTTGCAAATGTCAAACATTTTTTGTGAAATGCATCAAACAGCCACACACCATGGATTACCTACAAAATCTAGTTAATGTAGAGAACAAAATCATTAACTTCTGGCTCGTTATATTCTCTTGTGCTCCCGGATTCAATGATTCCATGCGTGGAAACAAAAGCCACACAGAAATGACAGTCAACGTTCCACATCATACATTTTCAGAGTTTATTCTAACATTTAAAAGTATAAAATCACATTGACAACACAGACACTCCAAACACATTAAAACAGACATTCATTTACCTGAGACAAATGGAAAAGAAGAAGAAAGAAAGAAAAGCAAAGACGTCTTTGGAGAGTTGCAAGAGCAAATCTGATTTGTTACTCCTGTGTACAAACTTTTATAGTAAAGGCGTATTTTGCCTTTAGTTTATTCAAATAAGGCGTATCTTTGCTCATCCACCCAGGAGCTGTCTCAACCCTCTTTAAAGTTAGAAACTCCCTGCAATTTGTTTTCAAGATCAAACATCAGTTGTCACCTTTATCTAAACGAAGTGGAAGCAGAGCTTCTCCTCCACTGGCCTGAACTCATCCTGCTTTATGGCTTTTCACATATCAGTGTGAAGCTGGAACTTCTCCTGATTGGTTCCCACACAGACAAAAGGCAGATCAGAAGATCTTAGCAATCTGCTGTAGCTACAGGTAACACAAAGGTCGATAGGGCAGAATAAGTTATTAATCCAAAAACTATAAGTAAGCTATTTCAATCAAGACATGTTGCTAACTAGGAGAGATTCTCACTGTTTATTACATACTGTTTTTATTTTAATTATGTAAAGCACTTTGAAATGCCTTGCTGCTGAAATGTGCTACACAAATAAAATTTGATTTGATTTTTGATTTTTTTTATTACAAATTAGATTATGTGTTTTACAGATATTCTATGTTGCATTCAGTTTTACACCAGCTGTTTAAATCTTATCAAGATGGTTAAAAGGTTAAAGTCACACACAGAGCCACGACCCCCTGTGGATGCCTGCTCAGTCCACAGAGAAACTAGCTGTGTTTTAAATTATAGAAAACTAAAACTAAACTATTTTAATTCAACTTATTGTGTTATATTTAATAGAAACATCCTACAAATGAGACGACCACTGGCAATTTCGAACCAAATGTTCTCATTTTAAAATGCTGTTAATTTTATATAATATTGTACATGTGGTTAGGTTTTAAAACTAACATATTTTAAATTTATCTTCCTAACAAATTCTCAAAATCTATGGATTTTGGTCCATTTCTCAAATAAATATCTGAATCAATGAACATGTCAGTGCCTCAGAACGACAAAGCCTTGTTTCAGTGTAAGACAGTCAAATTGATTGGTCATGTTGTCCATATAACAGAATACTGTGGAGGAATGTTCTGATGTAAACTATAGCTTGAGCATTGACAGACAAAAACTGTCGGTCTTATGAGGTTAGAATTAGATGGTAGTAAAACATTATATAAAACTAACAAAAAGTACCTAAAAATCATGAATTATGTAAAAGTACACAAAACAAAATACACTGTTTTGACACAGCTAAAGGCTGTCAAAACAGTCAAAACGATTAATTTTGCACATCCAGTACACTGTATCTACAGTGCATAACCAAAGATACTCATCTTTGGATGCATTGCTGCTTAACAAACTGAATTTTTCCCCAGATAATGGGTGTTTTTTTAGAATATGCACACAGCTCTCTGAAAATGTTTAAGAGCAAATGATTTTTCCTCAGAAGCTGTTGTTCTGTTGAGGTTTTTTCTCTTCAAAACTTCTTCAAACAAGATCTTCTTTTTATTTCCCACAACAGTACATTCTGTCTCTTCGTAATCATTTGTACTGTTATTATCATCAATTCATAGAGACAAAGTATCAGTGACAGAAATGTTGCCGATAGTAAGCAAAGTCTTCAACTTGGTTACAGTGTTCATTACACACTAGAGTCGTGTTCAGATGTCAGTGGAAAATGAAAACTATGCTCTTAAACTTACATAGGTGTCAAGAATGTAACCATTTGACACATTTTTGAAACATGAATAATGTGCATCCTGGGGAAGGCCCTGTTTTATTTAGTGTTGTATTGTTTTTGAGTTTTAATTTCTAGTTCTGTTGGTTCTACCAATACTAGGAAAGTTTAAAATGTGTCAGGTAACGCTTCAGAAAACTGAGTATTGGATCATAAAATGTGTATTTAGACATTTGGCTTGTTTTAAATATGTGCAGACTCATTCTAATTCTGCAAACGTCTTCAGGACAGTCCCAACAAGAAACTCAATTTCACTTTTTTATCCAGGTTTAGGAAGGACTGCAATGCACTTCAGTATTTCAACATAAATCAATGAATTCTAGTCCACATTTTAACACTGAACCACTATTGAACCAGTATTTGTGTATGTTGTGCCATCATACATGTCATACTTTATTCTTTCAACTTACCTATTATGGGAAAATATTTGTGCATGTTTTTTGTCAGATTTCCATCCATTATTTGCCAGTGAAATATGTCCTGCAACAGTGGATGCAACTAGTGAGTAAATTGATGACTGTTTGATTTATATTCTTTCCCTAAGTTGAGACACATTTTCAAAGTACCTACCATCTGTAGCTGGATGTTGGACTTGCCAACCTTCTCCAGTATTGCTGCAGCTGCAAAAGAGCCAACAGAACCAAAAATTATGCTCCATATACGGTTCTGCTTCAGTCCGAGTTCTAACAAATATACAATATAATAAAAAACATGAACAGATCATGAAAAATTACAACTAATCTGGTATTCCTGAATTAACAAAAAGCCACTTAAAAGAATAAAACATCTAACTTTATTCAGTGTTTTTCATAATGAAATGAGTACAACACAACGTAGAAAAGCAAACATTTAGCTGCATCTGTTTTTCTTTGATAAAAATGACACCGCTTGTGAATGCACAAATTTTCTTTGTTTTCCGTCATTATTTATATTTTTTCTTCTACTTTCACATCAAACTACTGTCTCTAAATGTACCATATACTCACAATTTTACTCAAAAGACCTGTGTTCAAGATGAGGTGAGAAGTTGCTTTGGAAGTGTAATCTGTCAACCACCTGAATCAGTGACTCTGCTGTTCTTAGAGGCAGCCAGTCTTACCTTGATGAGGGGAGTCCAGAAAGTAGCGGGGGTCTGTAATTCTTGTGTTGATTGGCTCAATCAATCCAGTGATTCCTTCCTGTTGGGAACATTCTGATTATGACTGCTGAACTCCAATAAAAACCATCGAAATTAACTAAGTGCGTCTTTCTGACCGGGAGCTGACAGCATGTTGAAGAGTTATGGACCGGACACTTTGGAGCGTCTGGTTAGGAAGCGCANAAGAAAAAAAATTCCCCATGTCCCCTGGGGGGCTCCGTAGAAAAGAAAGGGAAGGACCATGAACAGAAAGCCCCAGCCGGTCACTCACCAGGAGAAGCCGTCTGGGCTCCTGGTATCTGATGCTAACGGTGGAGCCGTCCGGGCGGACCAGGAGCACCGGGTACTGCCGCTGATACTTCTGCCGCCCGCAGCGGACCAACGACGTCCGGTTGGAGCTCAGCTGAGCTCCGTGACTGTGGAGGAAGGAAGTCGGGACAGCTGGGGACACTGGCTGGGAACCTGCGAGTGATATGCAAGGACATATACAGCTACGCACACACGCGCGCATACGTGTATCAACACAGACAGACAGAGACACACATGTCAAAAAGATGAGGTGCGCTGTCGAACCAAGCTAACACGACGACATGTTGTTTGGAACCAACTGAAACTCTTACCGTTTCACCGAGCTGTGAAGAAAGTGAAGCTTCTTCGGGAGCAGCTGGGCCATTACAGACTGCCTGGATGGAAACCCGCTTTTTAATTACCGATTCCCACCGAGCTCCGAACCTGAGGTCACACAAGGACTAATGCTCTTTTCTGCTTAATGAGGCATTGTTATACCCGCTAGAGGGTCATACCGCCACCTACCTCATCGGAGGTTGTAGGACAAAACGCTAAATCATAGCAAGATCAGCTGCTGTTTTATATTTCTTTAACACTAACATCTGTAGCAATAATTCTTTCCATGTCCCATCCCTTGCACACCGCTCTCACTAAGATCTTAAAAGTTTCTTAAGTGTACATTTGAGGCAGTGCTAAAGAATATTTTCCACATTTTCAATTCTATTACAGTGATTTTCTACATAATTTTGTGGTGAATAAAATGTAACATAACTGAATCTGTGAAATTAACCATAAAAATTCAAGTAGGTATCTTTACACAAATATATTTAGTATTGAGTTCAAAAATATTTGTTCAAGATACAAGGGATTGTAATTTTTCCAGAAAATAAATTGTTTAAGCACGAAGAGCCTATCTTTTTAAGTTAATCCACACAACAAAATAAAAATAATCTTGTTTTCTTTACTGTGATCATTCAATAATTCAAAACATCAACCCTTAAGCCATCAGAGTTCCGAAGCACCAACAGACCAGCTGATTTTGAGCTAGAAGTCATTTAGTTTATGTACAACTAAACAAAATGTATCAAGTTATTTTAGGTTTGCAATACTTTAATCATACAACATAATTTCATTTGTTTTTATATGTTCCAATAACTGAGTTTTTAGGACATATGTTTATTTGTGACAGCAAGGTATCCCATAATGCATTGTGTCACCACCACCAGCAGTAACTAATTAAACCACTTTTTTATTTGTCACAAAAATTTGTTTTAAAATGTTTAAGGTGAAAAAGTTGCCTCCATTGGGTGGTGATAGTAGAAGTCTTTGTAACTTGGCTGTTACCCTGTTTTAGAGTTTCAATAAATATTGAATAAATATATCAAATTGAAATATTGACCTCTAAATAGTGGAAAAAAATCTCTTCCTTTTAGTTTTGTATATATATTTATGTGTTAGGTTTTAGTTATTTATTGTTTTTACTAAAGGTTTTGGCCTTTAATTGGTGTTGCCTTCACCATGGCATGACATGGTAAACCACAGTGTTCGCTTTTTATTTAAAGAAAGAGAAGAAGGTAAGTCTATGGGAATGTTGAAGTTGGATTTTTCAAGAAAATTGATTCAGCAAACTCTCATGTTCAAGCCAGATGACCTAATTTGTATGCTCACCCTGCCTTTCAATAGAGGATATGTAAGTTTTTGTATCGGTGTGTACAAGAATTTTTGGATGCACTTTGAAAATGCAAAGACCCAGTTCTCAGCATTTGATGTCGAGAAACTGACTGACAACTCCCTGAAAATGATGATTGAAATGATGAGGATGTTTAATGAGACTGTCAGTACTGAGGACATCTGTATGTGGCTGGGTAGTGTAGAGAACAAAATCATTAACTTCTGGCTCGTTATATTCTCTTGTGCTCCCGGATTCAATGATTCCATACGTGGAAACAAAAGCCACATAGAGATGACAGTTAACGCTCCACGTCATACATTTTCAGAGTTTATTCAAACATTTAAAGTATAACATGACATCAACAACACAGACACTTCATACAAACTAAAACAGACATTCAATTTAGCTGAGACAAATAGAAAATAAGAAGAAAGAAAGAAAAGCAAAGACCTCTTTGGAGAGTTGCAAAAGCAAATCTGACTTGTTACTCCTGTGTACAAACTTTTATAGTAAAGGCGTGATTTTCTCTTTAATAGATTCAAATAAGGTGTATCTCTGCTTGTCCAACTGGAAGCTGTCTCAAACTTTCTTTTAAGTTGTATCCTCCCTCGACATCTGTTCAATTCTGAGAGCAACTGTCCCTTTCTAAACAACCAAGAACAGAGTTCCACATTAACTGTCCTGAACTCCTGCTGTTTTATGGCTTTCTGAGCAGAGAAAAACAGAGATAGGCATTTCACAGATAAGTGTGAAACCTAGAATCTCTCCTGTCTTCTCCCTACTCAGATACCTCAAAGAGAAACTTAAAATCCTGTAGGAAGTTGAAGTAAAAGTTATCTCCACAGACCTAATTTGTTTTCCTGTCATTCAGCACTTCAAAAGATTGACTCTTGTAATCCAAAAGTAACACAAAAATCAGTGGGGCAGAATGGGGTGAAATTCCTTTTTCTAACCTATCAAATGAAAGAATCAATCCTGAGTATAAGAATTAACAATCATTTTCCAAGAACCTTTCACCATAAACTTGAGCAATTTTCAAATACTATACAAAAGATTTTCTTTCACACATTTTCTATTTGATTCTGATATACTAACAGATATTACAATTTCAGAATGAATTAGACACTAATTAAAATTATTAATTCTAAAACTATAATTAGACTATTTTCAATCAGAGCATGGTGTTAATAACTAAGAAAAATGTCTTACAAATTAGATGATAGTGGTTTTAGATATTCTATATTGTATTCAGTATTTTCACCAATCTTCACACCATCCCAGATATGCTAGTTTGGAAGACTTTTGATGATCTTCCATGAACAGAGCAAACTTTTCTCTCGCACGCTCATCCAAGTGATACTGCCTTCCTGCAGATGCTAATTTTATGGCCTCCTGTCCTTTCTCATAACACAATAGGCCTCACTCAGAGCTCCCTTCTGATCTCTATCTATCTTTCCTTCCTGTAAGTTGAAAACTTACCACATCGTGTGTTCATGAATATGAACAGTGCAAGCAGCCAAAATGCTGTAATTGTGGTGGCAGCCACAGTGTGGCGTATGGGGGTTGTGAAGTTATGAAGAAGGAGGTGCAGGTTCAACAAGTCAGAATACGCAATAAACTATAGTATCCAGAAGCTGTTAAAATGGTAAAGCAAAGAACAGACCGTGGGGGGAAAACAGTACAGAGTTAAACCAAACAAAAGAAAATAAAGTGTATGTGGATTTAAAAACGCCAGTGATATTCATTGCAGGGGTTATAAATGCAACAATGGAAATTAAGTCAAAATCAGACAGAATTCAAGTAATAGTGAAAGCGGCAGCAAATCATAACACTGATGAATTAACATGGGAGGAAATGAGAGATGACCTCAGCATTCAGGCCAGTCAGGAGGCAGAATGGATCGGATAGTTATGCTATGGTCTTGATTCTTCAGTGGAATGCAATAAGTTTAATATCAAATGGACAGGAATTAAAGCATTTTATTGATAAATTAGAAGAAGCTCCAGAGGTTATTTGTATACAAGAAACTTGGTTAAAACGCCAATTAGATTTTAGAATCTTAAATTATTCTGCTATTAGATTTGATCAGATTGAAGGTAATGGTGGGGGATGTACCTTTTTCATTAGGGAGGGGTTGCCATTTAGAGTAGTTAAGAGAGGAAAAGACAATGAGTTTTTAATTGTGGAGATTTGGATAAATGGAGATTCATTTATTATAATAAATTATTACAATCCATGTGAAAGATTAGAGCTGGATAAATTATAAGAAATTCAGGGACAAAATAGAAATAAAGTTATTTGGTGTGCAGATTTTAATGCCCATAACAGTTTATGGGAGGGCAGAGAAAAGATACAAATGGAGATGTAATAGAACAACTGTTGGAAGATAATCAATTAGTGTGTATGAATGATGGAAGAGGATCAAGAATAGATGTGCATACAAGAAAATTCTCAGCTGTAAATTTAACTCTGGTGTCTAGAGATTTAGTTGGATTATGTGAGTGGGAAATAGAACAAGAAACAACAGTAGGTAGTGATCATTTTCCAATTTTTTGTAAAATTCTTATTTCTAAAGAGAAGGAGGTGATAGAAAGGCAGGAAAGATGGATATTTGGTAAGGCAAAATGGAATGCATTAAAATATTTATGTGAGAAATATATGAATGAAGTCAATTTAAATCTAGATATAGAAAGTATAGAGGGAAAGATTATAGAAGTTATATTGAAAGCAGCAAAAATAATTCCTGTAAATAAAGAAAGAGGTACCTTGGTGCACAAGAGTGCAGTGAAGCAATAAGGAAAAGAAATAGAGCTTTTAGAATATTGAAAAGAACACGTCATAAATTTAATTGAATATAAAAAATGTCAAGCAGAAGCAA